GGCTCAAACCAACGGTTTTCTTTGCTCTGTTTCTCTCGTTTGTATCTTAAAGCTTGATAAATCTCCTTTGTTTTCAGTGACGGGATACTAATATCGCCGACCAGCTGTTTAGACGCACTAAGCCCAGCATGGTGAACTTTAGTGAAATATAGTTTCTTAATCCGTTGCAAATGCTCAAGAAATTTTTATGGAATTTCAAATTCTAAATGTTGAAATAAGAAAAAAAAATCATAGTGTAGCTACATTTGTTTAAAAAAAAAGAGAAACAGTTATTCCTCTTCTGAAATATTTTGCATTCTGGGCGTAGGTCATTTGAACGATTTGTTTACACGACTGATACAAGTCAGAAACAAAACTACCAGTTGTCTAACGAAATACATTTCTAACTCTGTAGCCACTCACTTATTTCCCTTACTAACTTCATGAGTTTTACGGGACTTACAACACAAATAGGTCATATAAATGCCAAAGATTAGAGGTGTCACAAGAAAGTAACTTAAACACACACACACACACACACACACACACACACACACACACACACACACACACACACACACACAAACAAACAAAGTGGAGAGATATGGACGATAGATGTTTGATAAGAAAGAAGGAGCGAACCACAACAGAGCACCCACCAACCACCCAGTTTTAAGAATTTCAGTTTGCAAATATTTTCTGTACAAGGCATCGTTTCAGGGTTTGGTTTACATTTAACAGCCATGTCTTAATTAGCTCAGTTTCAGAATGATCGATTCAGAATTCATCAGGTTTAGCTCGGAGTAGACTTCATTCTTTAGACGGACCAGCTCATAAACCATTTCCGAGTGAGGATTTACAATATAACAGTTCATCGTAATTAGAGGTCGGAGTCTGATAGCCAAAAACTTTAGAAGGGGTAAGGGGTATCAATGGTTCGTCAGAAACCAGAGACGTTTTTTTGGGCGAGGATACGCTCTGTTTGATTAACGTTGGAATCGTAAAGAAGATCTTGTCTGTAGGAGGCGGTGGGAGAAATCAATAGTTGAAAGCAGGACGATCAACGGTGTAACGATTTGTAAAATCCGTTTTACACGCTGAGGGGGATATCGATCCAAGTAATACTCACAGACAACACACACAGACAACACACACACACAGACAACACACACACACAAGCATACACACACAACACCCACGAACAACACACACAGACACACACATGCATTATCGACAAAAGCACACACACAACCGCACATAGTCTATACACAGTCGAACATGTCTCCATGACGATCACTCCTAGAAACAAAAAATAACGGTACAAAAAAATTATCGGTACAGACAGATGGCCGCTATTGGCAGAATCTGCGTTATGGTCACTTACTAGACTTGACAAGGTGCACAGATGTTTCAAAATCTGAAATCTTCATTCTGTGTTATCGTTTCATTTTGATTAAAATTGTTATCTACCATAAGAGCATTGATTCAACATGCCTACTTCGTCTGAGGACGTGTTGGCTGAAAACGTTTGTTACTTGTAGCAAGTAACCCGTACGAGCTGGTTTTGAGGCCGAAATTGGATAGGGACAGCTGTGCACAGGTTAAACAAACAGAAAACGCGCAAGGGTGTCACAGAGCAGTGGCTGTTGTTAGTTACAGGTGGCCACCATGGAAAGGTAACCGTTAAGGAAGGTTCGAATATAATACACACACACACACACACACACACACACACACACACACGCGCGCGCGCGCACGCGCACGCGCGTACATACACGCACAAGGGAGGGGGGAACTCGTTGATCACCTGTGCACAATGGTAAGAATTCAAGAAGGCGCTTGAAAAGAAGTGCTTAATTCGTCCTAAGCTATATTTCATGAGATCCAAAGAGTTTGCCTTATTTGCAAAAGGATCTGAAATTGTTTTTTGTGCTCATTCCAATTGTTCAGTGCTCAAATGTCCTCGCTAGGTGGCAGGCAGGGGCAATAAACCCAAATGGAACATCGTCAGTCTACATAAAAAATCTCTCAACTTGTGCCCGCACAGCGTCACCTGAGACCACATCAATTGAACGTAGTTGAAATTTGCTATCAAACTGGCTTATCTCACACAAAAGTTCAAGAACCTAATGCTGATAAACCCCTCTTCCGAGATACGTCACTCTTGATCCACAAAAGGGTGGGGGGTAGAGGTTCCAGAGAAACACCTTATCTTTAGCCCGCTGAGTATATCAAGTTTCTGAACATACCTGCCACTGATCCTTTTACCTTCGTGGATTCGTATCGCTAGTGCCAAGGCATATGTCAATCTCGCAAATCAATACTGTACCACCAGGATGTCATCTTATCTTTATAAACTCTTATAGCGACCAGTGAGGGGGCAGGTGATTTTGAAGGGAAGGTGTGACAAATTCTGAATTCAGAGTAAAGATTCGAAACCAAACTGTGCGCCATAGTTGCTGGCTACTGATTACTCAGCCAGGTCATGATAAAGTCCGTCAGGAAGAGCATGTCTTCTGACTTCAACTTTAGTGACTATTAACTTTTCCTTGGACCATCTGCCCCCAAATATGGTTAATGTTCTTTTTTTCTTTTTTCTTTTCTTTCTAGGCTTTGTTCGTCCACAGCAGGATGTAGCTTAAAAATAATAAATATACCGGTCCACCATTTGAGAAACATTAAAATTATTTGATCAATTCAAGGAACTAATAGGTATAACAGAGAGAATACATGAAGAAAGACATACAGCAAATAGAAACTGATAACTATGAAGGGAGAGAGAGAGAGAGAGAGAGAGAGAGAGAGAGAGAGAGAGAGAGAGAGAGCGACAAAGAGCGAGATCCACAGGAAGAGAGAAACTGACTTCCTAGCAACCAACCATATTATTGTACAGAATCTTGTCATCACTCACCTAAGTCAAGGTCCAGGAAGCAGACATTTCCTTCAGGGTCAAAGGCCACGGTGTCAGGACTAATGCAGAGGGTCTGGAATAGGTCATGGCAGTCGTTGACATACTCCAGGGTCAAGCAGCACTCGCGACACAGCGCCCACAGTTCTTGCTCCTCTAGAAAGCGGCCTCGAGTCGCCAGAACCTCGGACAACGAGGCTGTTGCCATTTCTCCAGCGGACTCGATGGAAACGGGACTCACTGCGTCCGTCGCCATTTTGTTGCAACGTTGTCGTTGTTGCCCCAGCAAGTCTCAGGCTTGGCGACAAAACATTGTTGTTGAGGAAAGGGCTTAAGTTATCGGTTGTCTTTTTATGATTTTAGTATATCCATAATGTCTTTTCCACATCCCGTTTAATACGCCGTTGCTTTGATGGATTTAGTATTGCAGTGATGTCTCTCATTTCTGACGCTTGTTATAACTGCGGTGCGAAGAAATTGGCACATATTTTTTCGCCGTTCATTTCATGGACATCCACGATCAAGCCCACATTTCATCTTTCATGCACGTCCCTGAAACAAGATCATAAAAGGTATAAACGTCAGTGTAAAAACTGGAGAAGTGACATTTTATATACATGCTTGACATGCAAGGTGACAGCAAAAATTTGGTTCAGTTTCAGGAAGAAATAATGAATGCTCTATTAAAAACTGATTCACCGGATAAAGTCATCAATACTGTCCCTTGCAAACAACGAATTTTCACATATTGTATTTTGGTTGTTTTCCAGATATATAAATATTCCTGACCAAAATACATTTTTCCTGTTTTTAATTGGATGATACAGGAGGAGATAGTTACTTAGGAAACATTAGCCTCCCCCCCCCTAAGAAAAAAGCAAATATAACAGAAAAAGCTGAGCAATTTTTTTAAAACAACAAAACAAACAAACAAATAAACAAACAAATAAACAAACACACACACACACACACACAATAACGTCTCAAAGCAAAAAGAAACATCACAGACACAATCATCAAATTATGTCGAAAAGAAGTCCGCCTGCTTATCAATTAATGAATCTTTCGTTAAAAGCCGCCCTAACGGGTACTTTGTTCTCGAAAATCAAAGACAAAGGACACAAACAGCAGTTTCGAGTACAGCAGTCATCCTTTAATCAAACAAAGCGAAACCCTGTTCACCACACACACACACACACACGCACACACACTCACACACATCATCACCATCATCATTTCTACGAAACAGCTATAAGTATGTAAGGCCTTCCCTCTCACCTTAGCTCAGAATAATAACAAGGTCTATGACACGCAAGGATCACCAGAAGTAAGGGCTATCGAAAACTCCAGACCGCAAGTCTCAAAGGCAACAAAGCTTACAAACCAGGTGGATTAGAGAGTTGGTGGGATAAAGAAGATTAACGCAAAAAGTCAGGAGGCGTAGTTCGCGACTACTGTAACTAATAGCCATGCTATTCAGGCGGGTAAATCCTCGACTGGTAGGTGGAGCTCAAAATTTGTGGGCCGTTAATCATGTGCTATCAAAACAATCTAATAGAGACTTGTGGTACTAAAATTATACTGTACGTTTCTATTGCTACCATCTCTATGGTTATACTTTTCTAACACAAAAGACTTTTCTACCTTAACTATCGACTATCTATTACTCCTCTCTGCCTGAATAACCTGACGATAATAATATGTAGGAAGAGAGTAAGTTAGGATCGAACTATTTTAGTCTGTCTGTCTGTCTGTCTGTCTGTCTGTCTGTCTGTCTGTCTGTCTGTCTGTCTGTCTGTCTGTCTGTCTGTCTGTCTGTCTGCCTGCCTGCCTGCCTGCCTGCCTGCCTGCCTGCCTGCCTGCCTGCCTGCCTGCCTGCCTGCCTGCCTGCCTGCCTGCCTGCCTGCCTGCCTGCCTGCCTGCCTGCCTGCCAAACACACCCTCAATCCAGCAATCTACTTTATGGTCTTTCTGTTAGTCAGTCAGTCCTGTCTGTTTGCCAAAATTTCTGTTTATCATCTAAAGCTCCTCATCCGAGTGGGGGGAACATGACGTCGGAATGAACAGGGTTGTTCTTTTAATAAAAATCTAATATGGTTTGATTTGAATAAAGAGAAGCACAGTGACACAGCACCTCGCACATAGAGCTGGGGAAAAGGAAGATGAATAGACAGAAATAACAGAGTAAGAGTGAAAAAGTAGGACCTATCAGAAGCACCCTCTAACTGCCTGCTTAGAAAAAAATGAAAGACAGTATGGAATAAGAAGCACAAGTGGCCCAGGTAGTGCTGTCAAAGAAGCTCTCATCCTGAGGATAGTAGATATAACAGACTGTATACCGTGTTTTTCACACGTGCCTTGAATTAATAATTTTCGCGATTTAAAAAGAAATTTATGAATTCAAGTCGTTCGCACAACTGCATTGGACCACATGACACCGGGCGACTCAAACTAATCACAAATTCAAAACGTTCGCGAAAAACAAAAAGAGAAAAACTCGGAAAAAGAGCTCTCGAAAAACCCGGTGTAGGCCACCAGTCGTTAGACCAAATGGCAAGACCCCTGAAAATTCATGTCAGACTTGCATTATGGAAATACAGTGACACAGGTGGACTTTCCGTTTCCAGCGATATTCAAAGACATTGTCTATACCTGCGGGGTTCACAGGACGTCTGTACTGTAAGACATCGAATACATAATACCATAGTTCTTGTGGTTCTTCACAATCAAAGAAAAAAGAATAGTGTATATTACACGTTTACAATCAACGTAACTTGTACATTTTTGGGGTGACTGAATAGAAACAGCTTTCACGATGTAAACTATCTAGATTCTACTGCAGCCTGCCGCTCCTCTTTCTATCTGTATACCACTCTCTAAGTTGCGGTTATGTTTTGAAGAGCATTTAGTCAAAAACTTAGGAAAAACATAATGGAAACTTTACAAAACCATTCTGCCTTTCAATATTCCCCCAAAATATACACATATATCAACCCACTGGCAGCATTAATCTCCAGCACTATTATTATGGGAACAGTAGGCTCCCTTCAAAGGCACGTTTTACGTTTTACGTCTCTCGAAACATTTACGTCACAATTCTCGGTCGGTCGAACCGAGGGAAAAGTGGCGATCGTACCGATTCAAACGATCTGTTCCAAACAATGTTTTCTGTATCTTCATGCTGGTCCTGCTATGAACCGAGACCCATAAACCGGGGGTTCAAAAGACCACAAAACGTGAATATTTCGACCACTGCTGCCCGTGTTGTCGAGTGGCGTACTACGCTTGAAACACTGGGCCAAGATTTACAAAGAAAATGAGATTTGTTTTATGGTTCCTCGGGCTCTTTAAAATAGCACTTGATAATTTAGGACCAGGCAGAGGCAGGTTCTGATTCCCTGAGGACTACTTTATCACGCTGAAAATGAAGTAAGATTGAGATGTAACGACGAATAATTTATCACTTACCATAAATCGAAATTTGTCGTACTAGACCACGGGTACTGCAGAACAGAAAATCTACGAAACCTTTAAGTGCATGGGGCATCAATCCGATACCATAAGATATAATGCTACTCAAACAGGACTTTGTATCCTAATATATTCATCGACCGGTCAGAAACCCGCCGAAGTTGAACCATAAACACCCCAACAGCCCTGCTTGTCTTATACGTCAACAAGAGAACACATGGGCCTCCCAAGTGTACGTGTTTCATCAGTGTCAGCGGGCTGAACGAGTTACGAGAGGTCGGATGAATATGAGAACAAAAAGTAGGTGTTTCCCCATGGGTATAATTTAGGTCATAGACCGGCCGGGCTGATTCGACCCCCACCTCCACCCCCCTGTACCCTAATCAGGGCCAACCTGGGCTGAGAGCTAGACGCTCAGATCATCCCAGATTAAAGACGGAGATACTCGATAGAAATTCATTCTTCCCACACAGAAATTGAACCCAGGCTGATACCAAGGACTCCATTAGGGTAATAATTATTTGGTCAGGAAATGTAATGTTTTTTTTTCTCCAAACTTCTCTTTTCCATATCTTTTTTCTCTTTATCTTGCTCTGTCTTTCCTCTTCTCTATGAGGATGTTCATAGATAGACAGACAGACAGACTGACTAACTGACAGACAGACAGACAGACAGACAGACAGACAGACATAGCGATCGATCGATCGCGATCGACAGATAGATGGATAGATAGATAAGAGTCTGTGCAAATATGGGCAAGGGGGGGGGGGGCGTGGAAGGAAGCATACTCACGGTCGCTTGTGTAAGGGGAGAGTTCATTGCATCATGTGCTATGCATTAAGTTTGCTTCAACAAGTAACTTTGACGGGATTTTTATTTCGCACGCCATAATGTCGGTATAAAATAGATAGATGTTGTTAGTCTCACTTGGAAGTGAGAAGCGGCTAAATAATACTGTGAGCAAGGAATGTGTCAGTAAACATCCAACCAGCCATATTCATGACCCCCCCCACTCCACTAACCTGAAAAAACAAACAAACAACAACAACAAAACAACAACAAACAACCCAACAAGCATAACCACAACATGGAAACATTTTAATCATCAACATTGAACATTTCAAAACGAAAAAAACAAAAAACAAACACCCCGCCCCCTTTTCTCCCCAAGCAACGCCACCTTCGGCAAAACGGACCACCTTTTGGTAGGATATTTGTCGTCTAAGTAAATCACCGGCTTGCATTATGATGTGTTCAAGTATATATTGTAAAACAAAAGATTGATGGATCGGATCGAAAGATTTATTTATGTAGTGAGCACATTATGCGATTTCTGCAGTGTTTGATTTTTACATTGTTTGTGTTATTGTTTTATACAACGTCGAGTGATTTTTCTTCTTTTAAATCTGAAAGTGTATATCATATCAATCAACTTGCGAGAAAACGTTGGGTTAAAAAAATAACGGAGACAGACGAAATCAGTAAAAGAATAGGTAAGAAATAAAGCCCTACAGTGGCGCCCTCAAGATATCCATCCATTTTCCAGCTTATAATCAGTTAACCAAACATTTTTTAAAAACGGAGTTTGTGGTGTGTTAGGTCTTTTGTCGTAGTACGCTGACGATGTGAGGACGACTATCGTGTGGGGAAGTTATTTTTATTTAGTGCCGTATCTCCTTGTTTGTTTCAGTAGAGGGTTTACGGCGCTCGCAACTGCATTAGGTCATATGAGCGCCAGAAGTCTAGAGGTGTTACAAGAGAGTAACAAACATAAAAAAGAAGGAGGGGAGATAAAGACGATAGATGTTTGATAGGAAAGAAGGAGCAAACCACACCAGAACACCCACCAACCACCCACTTGTCGAATCTCCGACTGTCTACTGGGATGTTGTATCGTGTTTAGAATTGGTTGGTCCTAAAAGGGACGGCCAAAGCAGCCTGTCTCCAAAATGATGTTATTTGTATTTATTAGAACGTAAAATACTTACAACCAGTTTGATATTAAAAAATACACCAATATATGTTTTAAGTTTTAGCGCAGTATTTACTAACTGAGAGACAACATTTGTTACAAAGCAGCAGAGAGGAGTTAAATCGGTGGACAAGAAAGTATAATTTATCTATAAATTCGCCAACACAAACTTTTCAGTACATCAAATCAAACAAACTGGACGTACTTGAACGTGGCCACTTCGCACTGGAAGTGGCCTTGCTTCCCTTCTCCAAGACAAACACTCCGTGTCCCCAAGCCAAATATGGAACGGCTCCGTCATTCTGCTCCGATAAGAACTTAGTAGGGTCATCAACACAGCAGCTGATGACCACGTTACATCAAAGTGAACCCTTGAACACACACAAACGGCTAGGACAAGTTTTGAAAATTCCCGAAATAAGTTTTGAGGAGTTGAGGAGATAGTGGAGACGAGAGGATAAGCTGAGGCCCAGCCGAGGCCCAGCCGAGGCACAGACATTCATCATTTGTCTTTGTCCAGGGACACACGAAGCGTCAAATAGTGACGGGCTGGCTGCCTGTACAGGCGGACATTTGGCAGGTGAGTTGTAAAGTTAAAAAAAAAAAAAAAAAATTAAAATAGCGAGAAAGGCAGGAAAAGAAATAATTCGCTGCCCCAGAACTACAAATCTATCGTCTGAGTACTTAGTTTTGAGAACATTGACGTTTAAAAAAAAGGTGAGTTTCATAACTAGTCAAGCTTTTTCGAATGCAATTCTTTGAATATTTTGATAACGACTCAGAATAATCTTACGACTATGATAGACCAGAGGGAGCATTTGGTTTCTGACCTCACTGTCATAGTAAATCAAAACGGCCAAACATGTCAGATTGAACTTTGCAATTCTAAGGTATCGAATTGTCTTCTCTGTCACTTATTATAACATTTTCAACATTCAGTTAAGTTTTTCTTGATTTGTCCAGCCAGACAGTTTGATGGTAAAAGTCGCATGCGCCTATAGCCCCTTTGTTTGTTTGAAAGAATTCTTTAATTCCAAACAATTAACTATCCATAAAGAAAAAATAACGTTACAACGATTGACGTTCACTGGACTAATAAACATGGACTGACTTCACCCACATGTTATTATAATTATTGTAAATGTTTTACTCGCCTGTCGACACAAGTTGGATAATTCATGTAGCGGGTTACTTCGACTTTGTTTGTCAGTGTCAAACAAAGCTGAATGATGGGATATAACAGCTCATCAGATAGTGGTCTATACTTGAAGCAATAATCTTTTTTTTTTGTTCACGCTGGAATCGAACTCACGCTCAATTTCAAGACACCCGTGCTTCAGTTAACTCCTGACAGTGCTGCTATAAGCAAAGAAGAATTTTGTAGGCAAATCATGTATATCAATAATTAAAAGATCAATCTATCTATCTATCTATCTATCTATCTATCTATCTATCTATCTATCTATCTATCTATCTATCTATCTATCTATCTATCTATCTATCTATCTATCTATCTATCTATCTATCTATCTATCTATCTATCTATCTATCTATCTATCTATCTATCTATCTATCTATCTATCTATCTATCTATCTATCTATCTATCTATCTATCTATCTATCTATCTATCTATCTCGCAAATGCTCATGCAAGGGGAAATTGGCATTAACAAACAGAGAGACACACAGGAAGAAATGAGGATCGTTTCCACTCTTACACAAATCTTGGGTGCACTATGCCTTGAAGATGTTTTCAACCCCTCACCTCTCCAACCCCTCACCAGAACAAGCCATACTTAACTCAAATACAACCTCTCCAGAAATGCACCCCCCCCCCTCACACACACACACACACACACACACACACACACACACACACACACACACACACACACTCATGCACCACCTTATTTTCCTTTTATGACAACTTTGTCGAAAGTAAGACGGAGCAGGTTATGATTAGACATTATTTCGACTCTCTGGTTATGAGTTCATTGCAAAACAAGAATTCTTTTGCAATCAGATGAATGTTTGTCTAGAGGTACCGATGTAAGTACATACAAACTGAAAGCAGTAGAAAACTTGTGTATTTCAATCATCAAAAGACAAAATCCAATCTCGCTATTAAAAATCAAGACTGCGTGTAACCGTAAGCATCCAGCGATGTTTAATGTATTCTTATGAACGCTTTATAATTACCAGCTTGATAAAAATTATATAAAAACAAATGCATGCTCATGTCCTCATTAGGTATGTCAAATAATAACCTGTTATACATTTCAGAATGTTACCATCAAAAACACAGACGTGGATACTTCCCAGAGGCCGGGAACTCCTTTGCTCAGTGTGTTCTCAGAGGTGTTTGTCTGCCCCGCCAAGTGGAATGTTCAAAGATCAACTCCTTACAGCCAACACGAAACATGAAGGCCAAGTGAAGCATTCGCAGACAGCGCTTCCCTTCAGTAAAATGTTGGGACCTAAAGGAGCCAGGAGAATACCATACATAGGAACATTGCTGATGTTCAAACCCTTCAGTCCCTATACTATCGACACTTTTGACCGCATGGTGAGTTCAAAACACGATAAGTATGGTGCTATCTTCAGAATGAGGATGGGGAAGGAATACACTGTATTTACCGAAAACGTCGCTGACGTTGTGACTATATTCCGAACGGAAGGGCCCTACCCCAGAAGACGTCTCATGAATCTGAACAAAGTGTTCAGAGAGCGTAACAACTTGCCCCTCGCCCTCGGCGGACTTTCCGGGCCCGAATGGCATGAGCTTCGACGTCCACTGAACCCCCTTCTGAACAAACCACAGATGTGCCTGCATTATCTGTCTGCTCAGAACAACGTGGCTGACGATTTTGTCAAGAGACTGGGTGAGACTACGTTATCTCGGGAACAACAGTGCGAGGAGTTTTTCAAGTACGCCGCAGAGAGCATCGGGGTGGTTTGCTTCAATTGCAGGCTGGGCTTTTTGAATTCTGACTTGAGTTCTTCTCGAGACAAGCACAACTTACTGGAAGCCTTCAAAACAGTGATGCACTGTAATTATGTGGCTATGGTTGGTCTGGAGAGAAGGTATCAGTTCACAGAGCAGGATGAGTTTTACCAGCTGTACAGCCGTGCCATGAAGCTCATCGCTCATGAATCAATGCAGTACGTGGAAGCCGTGATGTCAGGATTAAAGGCCAAGCAAACATCAGGTAGCCAAACCATAGAACAAGAATCTGACTTACGTGCTTATATTGAAACAAATCTCCTGGCCTCTTTGATAGTAAACAGCAATCTTGAAATGAACAAAATCATCGCAATAATAGAGTCTCTGCTCGTCGTCGGCACAGATTCTACAGCCAAAAATCTCGCCGTATTGTTGTATAATTTAGCTAGGCATCCCGAGAAACAACAAAAAGCTGCTGATGAAATTATGGGTATTATGGGAGAAAACGAGCCCGTGACACCAAAGACAATTTCAGAAATGCACTACTTGAAAGCGTGCGTCAAAGAGTCGATGAGGCTGAATTTCCCTACTGCAAATGGAACCATGCGAATACTGAACCAAGACACGGTTCTCAGCGGTTATCTCGTGCCCAAAGACACCAACGTCATCCTGGGGATGAGGCGAATCGCTCATGACCCTCGATATTACCCAGATCCAGAGAGCTACAAACCAGAGAGATGGCTCAGACAGAAACAGGGCTCACAGACAAGACGAGACGAGGTCGTGTCGCGACAGGCCTTCACGTACCTACCCTTCGGCCACGGAGCGAGAAGCTGCATTGGCCGACGCTTTGCCGAGATGGAGATCCAAGTAGCCGCCGCTAAAATCTTACAGAAGCTGCAGGTGCGAGTTGACAAGTCTTACGAAGGCTTGGACCCTGTGTACACGCCGTTTATTACACCAAGAGTCCCTATTCCGTTTGTTTTTGAGAAGAGGAAAACTTAACCCATAACGACTGTGTCAGGAAGACACTTGGCAATCCATGATTCCACCAACATTTTCAAGTGCATAAACCTCAAACACAAAACTGAACCTCATATGCGGTCGTTAAAGTACTATGAAATAAATGTGCTAGTGTTCATCTTTTAAAATCGATAAGGCAGTGAAGCTAAAGAGACATAATGACACAGATTCTGTTTTTGTTTTTCCTAGTAAAAAACAACAACACTTGCATAGGTGGCCTCTTTTCAACCGAAGCCATCACTATTTGGCATCAAAGCACCGTTCAACCATTCGCAGGATAATAACCATGACAAATCTGGATAAATGATGATGTTTTGATTTAGAGTACCCCATCTGAACACGTAGATGCCAAACAATTAAAGCACAAAATTGGAAACATGCGATATACGGCCTTGTCATATGTACCAACACACCCGCAGTTGTGCGAGTTACGAAGAGGTGTACAAACGTTGTCGGTTAATCAGTGCAAAGAAAAAAAACAGTATTCATAAGCACAAATAACAGAGGGAGATTATTACGCTGGACCAACCGGTGGTGCCCTCTAACTGCGAACAAACACCAGCACAGGAGAAACATTTTCACCTGGATACTTAAATGGCAGATGTACACGAGAAAAATATGAAGTCAATTATCAGGCACTGTCGAGGTTGAAGGGTAACAAAATTATTGCAGCCACAACAAGATTCAAAGAGAGTCAAAAGGGTTTAATCTAAAGCAGACGCAAACGATAAAAACATTTTATATTCGCTCGTATTTTTGTTTCTATCTTTTCGTTTCATCTATGTCATTTAGTATGTCTGTTCTCGTCTTCATTTCCTCCTGTATAGCAGCCCAGCAAATATCAATGTTAGTAGTTTTGCTCATACCACTGGAAGACCGTTTTTAAGTGGAAGAGGCTGAAAAAGGAAAATGCTCTACTGTTTGGGTTAAGAAAAAAGAAATATAGGACTTCAAGTGCTGTAGAGGGAAAGTAGAAAGTGGAAAAGGGAGGGAAGTAAGTTGTGATAGAAATATCGTTTTTCAAGGAGGCGTCGGGATAGAGGAGAAACATGTACGTGGAACAGTGTAGAGTAATAATATCACTGACAACACTGAAGGAGAAAAAGACCACGCCTGGGCGGGCACCCACAAACCACCCAAGTGGGGAAAAAGGGGATGGGGTGGGAATTTCGTATACATATGGAAGTGTTAAGAGGAGAACAAGTAAACGCCCACGAACAAACTTGCTAATACTCCGACACATACCCAAAGGAGGTTTATCAAACAAACGAACACACACACACACACTCACACACACACACACTCACACACACACACACACACACACACACACACACACACACACACACACACACACACACACACACACACACACATGCGCGAAAACAGGAAGAGACGAGTGTTTAAAAAACGGGAAAAAGGAAAGAAAAAAAAAAGGGGGGGGGGGGGGTGTTCCTGGCTGCGTCACCTTCATGTCGATACAATTATAATATTATTGTTTTGGAATGACGAAGTCATATTTTTGTCGATGATACTCCTCTGTCGAGGCCTACATAATGCAGGAAGCAGTTCGGATACAGATCAAAAGATTGATAGCTTGACGGATAAATAAAATAGAGAAGATTTGTATCAACCAAAACTGACAGTGCGCGTTTCAGATATGACTCAGAAATTTTAACTTATTGCGACTAAACAGTATTTTCAAACCTAACCGAGCGACGGAGTACATTTTTGGACATAGATTATTTACTAGTAATTGCATATTACATGTACAGAGATATAATATTTCTCTTGCCACAGTTAGAGTTTGGCAAATATGTAAGGCCTAACGAGAAATGTATTTGAAATGAATGGAAACGAAAAAGAAAAGTGCCTACGTAAAGTCTTGCAAGTAGATTAGAGTATATTATTATTAGAATAGAGCAATATCTAGATACCAACATAAAGCATTTTACATGTTCCGCGAAATATTGACTCTATCGAAATGTTTCACATATTTTAAACTAGACTTAATTATCCTCAAGTTTAGTCCTACAAAGCAAAACAAGCTTACAAATACACAGACATAACCTACATGCTTACATATAGGACTAGAATTACAAAGATTAAAAAATTTTTTTTTTCAAAGGAAGCGAGCAGCAGCACTTGGAGCGAGACAAAGAAGAAAGCTATTTGGAATTTGATCGATATAACACTGATTTTCTGTAGAGCTGTGATTTCAGCTGGCTAAAGAATTTCTGCTGCAAGCCCATCGGTTCGAACAAAGAACTCTTTTCAAGCCTCGCTTGTCAAGAGAAAATAAACATTAAGATATGCAGTGACAAGTCAATTAAACAAGTCAGCTTGCTATGTACAGTTTAATTCACTAGAGGAAAAATCAATACAGAGAGAGAAAAGCTGCCATCGCACCTAACCCACCCAACGCCGTGGTGTTGCCGCTTCTGCTTCACCACAGTCATAACCACTTTTTCTTCTTCTTCTTCTTCTTCTTCTTCTTCTTCTTCTTCTTCTTCTTCTTCTT